GGGGGATGTTAAGCCTGCGGCCAGCTGGGCGGACAGCGGCACCGGGAAATGGGGCAGCCCTCCGCCCCCCACCCCAACGGGGACCCTGAGCCTCTTGGCAGGGGGCTGCAGCCCGGGGCTCCTCTATCACCCCCCGCCCCCACTCCAGAGGGCAGATGCATCCCCCAGGAAAGTATTTGCTGCACCAGGGTGGCTGTTGGGGCTGAGCGTGCCCCAAAACAAGCTGCCCAAGGCAGGACCCCCTCCCCGGGACACGGCAGTGCCTGGCTCCCCACGAAAACCTGCTTGGCTGCTTTGCACCCCCTGCACTCCCCAGGCAGGGATGAGGCAGACCCCGAGTGGGTGGAAATGCCTGAACAGCGCAAGGACAATAGCAGACAAGAAGAGAGGAAAAAAATCCCCTCGGCAATTTTCTGCAGGTTTCTATTTAACCTGAAGACAAAGACTGGCTTTGTGAGGGAGGGTGATGGAGGTTGCTCATGGAAATTTCTTGGCTTTTCCCCTTAACTAGGATTTTTTTACCACCTCCAAATTTAGGTAACTATAAAATGCAGTAAGTGCCCATTAATATTTTATTTGCTGCAGATTTTTGAGTAACAGGAGCGAGCCCCTGACAAAGGCAGAGTTCCCAAGCCCCCTCCCCACGCCACGAGGAGAGGCGGGCCAGCGACTGAAAATCCTCCTCTGCAGCGAGGCAGGGGCCGCTGGCCGGGCGCGGGGGATTACTCACTCCCTGAGAAGGGAGCTTAGCTGCCTCAGAACTGGGAGTAAACTGAAACCCCATAAACATCCAGAACAAAGTCCAGGAAAGCTGCTGCCTCCACTGCGGAGGGGACCCGAGCACGGCCGCTGCTGCCCCCCGGCCAGCGCAGGCGATGCTTGAGCCGGTGCCCACAGCATGGGAGCTGAGCCCCCATGAACACCCCGTGGGACCCCAAACTCCCTCAGGGCTGGATCCAGAGCCCGCCCTGGCCGGTGACCTGCAAGGTGCCGGCGGCACGGCCCCGGCTGCGGGTCCTGGCCCAGGACCGGCTCTACCCATCCCACATGTCCTGCCAGGAACATTTTGTTCCCACCAGCCAGCCCCAGAGCCAAGGGATGGACTCTGCCCCAGCCAGGCTCCTGCTGTGGCACTAATTGGCCACCCTGGTGAGAACCATGTCAGGAAACGTTTCCAGAGGTTATTGTTAGCCCCTGGCATGAGGCTGGCAAGGAACCAGCTCCTTCCTCTCCAACCTCTCCTCCTCCACCGCCGCCGCCTGACGCTGCTACCCAAACCCTCGGGGGGGCTGCAGAGCTCCTTAAGCACCCCAAAACCCACCTTTGCTCAAACTAGCCCTCAACCTGAACACCCCAACAGCTTTCCCAACGTGATAGCCAGGGCTGAGGCCACCAGCACCACTCTCTCGGCGGCACGAGAGCCATCCTTACCCCAAACACTGTGAGGAAACCTCTTCCAGGAAGGGCAATCTCCTGAGAAAAACATGTTTACCACTGTCAGCTGCGTTATTTACAGAAGCACGGAGTAAGCATGCCAATGGAAAAATCTCGGAGATGGTCCCCGTGAGTGATGCTCTGCCCGGGCTCCTCTCTGGAGCCTGCAGCTCCCCAGGGACCACGCACAGCTCCAGCTATCTCATGGGATGTATCTGTGACCAGGGTACCTGCTGCTCGGACCAGAGGCACTCACCCCAGCCCGCCGGCCACAGCATCATGGCATGCTTCCAGCCTGTACCACCCAGCCGTCCCCCACCGAGGCTGGTGCGGGGACCCCAGCCGCAGCGCAGTTTGCTCGCTGGTGCCAGCTCCCGCCCTGTCCCAAGCCCTGAGCCGTGAAGGGACCACGGGCACGGGGAGCGAGGCTGTCCAACGGGGCACCGCACAGCACCGGGACCGTGCCGGCAGCACCAGCAATCAGCCTCTCGGGGTTTTGGTGGGAGGAAGAGGGAAGGGGGAGTGAGCCTTAAAAAGAAAAGCAGTACCCCACAGACCAGACATTCTTGGGTAATTAAAACCAAAAGGCAGTAAGTCAGAAGTCCTGCGCGGCGCTGCCTGGTCTGTTTATTCTCTGCCTCACCAAGGGGAAGGCCAAGGCTTTGAAATGCTAGAGCGGTGCTTTCTATTGGGGCCAGCTGTCTCCCGGGCCAGGTGACCCACTCAGCCCATCCACTGCATCTCGGGATGCCGCCGGGCTCCGGAGCTCTGCAGGGCTGCGGCAGGAGCAAACCCCCAGCCTGCCCGTCACGGGCCACAAGCCTTTGCAAGGCTTTTAGGGGAAAGCAGCGATGAAAAGCGAGGGGGATGCCCTCATCTGCGGCTGTGCTCTCCAGCCCCAGCGACGCCTCACAACGGTGCAGAGATCAGGATTGCAGGAACTGCCTGAGGCAGACCCGGCTTTGAACCCAGCCCCGCGGGCATTCCCCAGCTGGAAGCAACACTGGAGCACCCCAGGGGTCTCCGCGGGGTGCGTTCATCCCACGCACTGCCAGCTGGCAAAGCCTGCACCGGTACCCTGCACCCAAATCCTCGTCCCCACCTGCTGAGCCCAGGATCACCCCAGTGTCAAGCAGGGGTGGGAGAAGGCTTCACACTCGTCTCGGGGCTGCAGATCATCACAGGGAAGCAAGTGCCATGACACGCAATGACCCCCCGCTGGGGACACAGCCCCCAGGGCTTTGTATCCTTCTTCAAACCAACGTCAGGTTTTGCCACAATTTCCCTCCAGGTTTAAAACGTCCACGGGCAACGCTGGAACCGTGCACGCACTTTTTGTGCCCACGCAAATTGCCCTCAGCAGACAACATGCCCCCCCTCCCCACTGGCCAGCAGCTCCCGGGCGGCCACACAGCACCGTGCTGCTGCCGGGGGACGTGCCCGCGCCCCCGCAGCAGCCCCTGCGGCTGGACCTCGCACCAGCCTCTGCCTCTCCTGCAAGGCAGACCAGCTATCTTATTGCCAGAAGAGAAACGCAAAGGACGAGGGAGCCGGGCGCTCCCCGGCGCGGCCATGGTGGTTTGCTCCTCTTACCTTGGTCGGGCAGGGTGGGGGCCGGCCTGGCAGCTGAGAGCGCGGCTGTGACCAGCACAGCCCAAAGGATGAGGCACCGCCAGGTAAACATCCCACTGCTGCGGCTACTGCTCGGCGACTGGGCTCCGCAACTCCCACTCCATGGGGACCCCGGGCTGGCCCCGGGCGGGCGCGGGGGGGGTCTCCGCCGGGCCGTCAGCCCTTCCGAGCTGCGAACGAGGAAAGCAGAGTCAGGGCAGGGCGAGATGCATCCCCACATCCCACCATCCAGCCCCCTCTGTGCACAGCACAGCTCTGCGGGTGGGACGTGCTCGCCATCGCAGGCGATGCTCCTCGAGCATCCAGCCCAGACGACGAGATGTCCCCAAACCCGTGGTGGCAGGTCCCCGCAGACCCCTCTGCAGCCTGAAGCGACCCAGCACTGACTGGCAGGGTTATGTTTTCCTGCATAAAAGTGCTGATGTGTCGAGAGTAAAACCGCTGGTGAAGCAGAATCAAATGCAGCAAAATTTCCCAGAACGGTGGGAGAAATTTTCAAACTACGGTTAAAGAAAGAGAGATTTCTGCTCTCCTCCTCCTGCACTTAGTTTGTGCTGAAAAGAAGAACTCCCATAAAGATCAAAATGCCACAAATTTTTTGAAACAAAAACCCCCTTGGCCCAAGCTGGGTCATCACGGCGTGGCAGCTCTCACAAATTTATTAGTTTTCTTTAACTTTGCTCAGATGAAAAATAATCTCAAAATCTTGACAAGTTCGTGGGACAGAAGAAATGTTTCTGTTGGGCTCTGAAAGGCCACTTCTCCCCTGCGCGAGCACACCTGCAGGCAAATGCCTTCCTGCCTCTCTCCCTTGTTTCCACAACATCTTCTGCCCCAAACACCCCGGACAGCGCCAGGACCCAGCCCAGGACCCCCGGGCAACTCCAGGACCAGCAGCACCTTGCTCCGCTGTGGCTGACCCAAGGCTTCGCTGAGGCAAATTCCACGTATCCAGACCAAAATCTGATGTTGTCCATGTCACCATGCACCCCTGGGCAAAGCAGATCCTGCTGCAAACCCCAGCCCCCTCCATCCCCATAGGATCTATAGGGCATGCACGCAGCCACCCCCTATGGAAACGCCTTCCTGGAGCTGAAGGGGTTAGCCGGTGTCTCACCCCGCTCCCGCGTGCGGCAGATCTCTTTCCACTGACAGCTGTTTTCGGAGCGGCCGTTTGGGGAGAAATCCCCCGGCTTCCACGGCCAATACTGCAATTCGCTCTCATCCCTGCCAGCTCTCACACCAGGCTCTCCAGCCCACCCATCCCCTCGGGTCCCCATCCCCTTCCCCTGCCAGGGGACCGCTCCGTGCAGGGAGGCATCAGAGCCAGGTTCTGGCACAGGGAGACCCAGCGGAGCCCGATCCCAGCTCAGGGTGCCCCGGGGATGTGCCCTCTACGGCCCTCATCCCTCCTTCCCTCTGACCGTCCCTCCTTCCTGCCACACTAGGAGCGTGGAGCTCTGCCAAAACACGTTTGAGGGGGACACTGGAGCCAAAGCCCAAGCCCAGCTGCCCCTGGCCAACTATTCCCAGCAGTGTGGATGCGAGCAAACCCCTGCACTCCACCCCCGCGACACATCTGCCACTCCGCAGAAGCCTGGGATGGAGGTCCTGACACTGGTCATCGTTAATTGTCCCACTGGGCTTTGCCGAAGAGCTTGCCGGCGAGATCCCTGCCCAGTTAATTGCACAACCCGAGCACGGCCGTGCTGGTCCGGCCAGGGTGCTGCTGGCGGCGGATGCTCCAAAAGTGCAAGGACCAGGGTGTGGACAGGATGATACCATCCCCGAAACCCTCCTCCAGGCTCCGGCAGCCAGAGGCCAGAGCATCTCCCCAGGGTGCAGCCGTACCTCCATGCCCCATAGCCCTTGCCGAGTATCCTGAGCTCACCCCGTTCCTCTCCCGACTGACTCGTGCTCCCCGAAGCCCCGTAGCCCTTGCCGAGTATCCTGAGCTCACCCCGTTCCTCTCCCGACTGACTCGTGCTCCCCGAAGCCCCGTAGCCCTTGCCGAGTATCCTGAGCTCACCCCGTTCCTCTCCCGACTGACTCGTGCTCCCCGAAGCCCCGTAGCCCTTGCCGAGTATCCTGAGCTCACCCCGTTCCTCTCCCGACTGACTCGTGCTCCCCGAAGCCCCGTGCCGAGCCGTTCCCAACCTGCTGTGTGAACAAGCGCTTCCTTTTGCCGTAAGACGTCTGTCTAAAGCATGCACTGGTAAAAACAGTGAGTAATAATTGTAGTGAGTAATAAGCCACTACTCATCCTCCCCACATACTTGGTCCGTCGGAGCTCCGGCCACCGCCTCTCCTGTTCCAGCGAGGGAGCGAGACCCTTCGCTCCTCTTGCCCGAAGTGCCGGCTTTTCCCTGGGAATGGGCTGAGCAGCGGCCAGCGCCAGCCCCAAAGGGCTCCCGTTTAATGCCGGGTGCCGCCCGGGGAGCTCAGACACCCTGAACAGCCTCTGCAGCCCAAGAAAACCCAGCCGGGGTGCAGGTTTGGGGGCTCCGGCTGCCTCCTCCCTGCCCCAACTGCTCTGGCTCTGGCTGGTGCAGGAACATTTGGGACCCAAAGTATTGACACAAGCAGTCGGGCAGGGAAAAGCGGCACCCAGCAAACACTGGCGTTATCTCCAAGCGCCAGCGCTCCCAGGCGCCAGGCAGCACGCTTTAAAATAGTTATTGAATGTTAACAATTTATCAGGGTTTGGAAGGGGGAGGTGGAATTCTTTGTGGAAAAAAAAAAAAAAAAGTCTTTGGTATTTCTGGAAATTATTTTCTGTCTCTAAGTGGTTTTGTTTATCGACAGCACATGCCCCCCGGAACATGCCCTAATGGGGAGCGTCTGCGTGGGCCTCCCGAGTCGGCCCCGCGCCGAGGGGAGGGAGGGAGGGATGGATGGAGGGAGGGATGGAGGGAGGGGAGCGCAGCGCCTCCAGAAGCAGCAGTTCCTGAAAAATGAGTCAGTGCTGGCTCGGCGCACAGCAAAGCCCTTCTCCAGATACACCTCGGAGCGGGCGCCTTCCAGCTGATTCAGGGGCTCGACAGCAGCATATTTCCATGGCGTATGGATCACTCGGCAGTCAAGAGCTGCCCCACGTCTGGGAGAGTCACTGGGAGGGAGAGGGAGGGAGGGACACGTGCCAAGATCCAGAGGGAGTGCACAACCAGTGCTCAGCTCCCCGGGGCAGAAAGGGAGGTGGCAGCAGCTATGGCTTTGCTAGAAGGCAGACAGGTGCAGGACAGGGACGCATCCTGCACACGGGGGTCAAACCAAGCATCCTGCCTGCTCCCCCCAGACAGGCTCAGCAGCACCCTAGGAAATCCTGGTGTTCAGAGAGGAGCGGATGCTAAAGGGATGGGGCAGCACAGACCCCTCCCTCCTTCCCAAGGTAAAAGGGAGCCCGGGGAGCCCCATGACGCCTGCCCCCCCCGGGGCTCCTCTGCGCCCGCTCGGCAAGGAGGCGAGGAAGCGGGGAGAGTGCTCCTACCTGTGCAAACAACAGCATGGCTCTTCTCTGTGTTTATACAGCTTTTATACAAATCCCAACAGGAAACCGTTTGCTCGGGAGGATGGCAGCCTGAGCAGGGTGGGTCTCCGGCTCCTGCCGGGCACCGTCCCCGCTACCCACGGCCCTGGCACACTGCAATTTACTGCTCAGGGGTGGATTCAAACAACTAAAAATGGAAGCAGTAAGAGAGGAGCCAGGGCTAACTGCCCCTCGGAGACCTGCCTCCGAGACTGCAATTACAACTGGTCATCACACCCACAGAGCTATTTCGGAGCGGTGACGGACACCCCTGTGCCCACCTGTGCACCCTCCCAGGGGCACACGCTCCCTGCACACCCGCGTGTTGGGGAAAATGCTCTCACGCCGCCTTTGTACGCCCGTGCGTTCGTGAGAAGCAGCCTCATGCAATCTGTCTCCCCTGTTGTCCTCGGGAGCACCGAGGGCTGCACTTTCACCTCTTGCCTCTCCCATGCCCGTGAGTCACCAGGCTGAGCTGTCCCAGAGACACGGCACAAGACAGGACCTTCCACACTCGGGCGGCAGCCTGCGCCGAACGTTTCTGAGCTGAGTGTAGCGGGGAAGCCCCTTCCCGTCCCGCAGCTCATCCCCAGGAATGCATCCAAGGAGCCAAAGGCAGGAGCTGGTGCCGGAGCAGGGTGCGTGGCTGGGGCACCCGGGGGTCAGAGCCCAGGCTCAGCCTGGGGCTTTCTGCAATGCCGTGCTGTCCCGCAGGGGAGCCCCTGATCTGATCCCCCGGGAGCAGGCTCCGTGTGCTCGTGCTGCTGGCTGTGACAGGGGGGTAGCTGCTGCCGGTCGGCTCGGTGGGGCTGGGATGGCTCTGGACCCGGGCAGCTTCGCCTTCGCTCACGCAGCCGCCGCCTCCCCGTTGGAGCAGAGCTGGCTTGTGCAGCATCCACCACATCAGAGCGTCCCGGAGGCAGGCGAGCGCTGGGGTGCCTCGGCGCCAGCGACCAGCGTGTAACGCAGCAGGCAGAAAAACAACAGGGCAAGGTCAAATTCAACAGGGAGAAGAGTCCGAGCTCGGCTCCCAGGTCTGCAAGGCTTCAGGAGCCCGGGGTTGGGGGCTGCACACAGCTCGGGGCCACACGTCTCTTGGGGTGGAGAGGTGGTGACTGCCAGCGGGAGACCTTGCCTGGCACAGATGTACTCCAGCTCCAAAATACAGAAAGGAGACTCAATTTTTCTCTGAGGCTCCACACAAGCAGCCCTCCAGGTGCCCTTGGGGAAGAAGGGCATGCCAAAGGCAAAATTCGTGGGCAACGCGGAGAAAAGCCTTTCCCTCGCCCAGCGCTCCCTTGCCCCAGCCAGCAGCTCAGGTCAGGAACCAAGTATTTGCTGAAATAAAAAGCAAACACAACTGCAAATATAACTACAGGGAAAAACTATAATGCTTAAAGCAGACACATGCTTGGAAAAATAAATATCCAACTGTGCAGCACACATACTGCATTAACCCTTCCCGGCCATATGTGCTGCAGCATACCAGGGGTATCGCTACCACTGAGTTCACTGCACACTGTGGGCATCCAGCGGCAGGGGAGCCTGTCATG